TATAAGTTTGTTCGTGTTTGTACAGTCTGATGTAAGTCGGATCTACTTGTATTGTATGTATGATTGTCGGAAATTCTTGAAGGGACTAGAGAAGATAGATAGTTCGGCGATATTTTGTTGACCATTTTATGATCCTGTATTAATTTGTGTTTTTTACGACGATCTGCTAGTTTTTCCCATTTGGGGTCTCTATATAGAAGTTCTATATTAGATAATTTGGTACCCCCTGTAACGATTCTGGCTGCCTCTAGTTGCACACTTTCTAATTTCTCACTTAGATAATTTGGTATATTGTCCCAGACTATGTCAGCGTATTCCAGAATTGGTCTAACAAATGATAAATACATTATTTGTAAAGAATTTCTATCAAGTTTGAATTTCAATTTTCTTAATACATTTAGACGTTTTGAAGCAGATTCCAGCATATGATTTATATGAACATGCCATGAAAGATTTGACGAAAACCAAACACCAAGATGTTTGTGACTAGACACTTCAGAAGTAACACTATTTTTTAAGTAAAGATCACCATGGTCAGGTTTCCAAACTTTACGACTTATAAGTAAACTTTCTGTTTTGTTTGGATTAAAAGTTACCAGCCATTTATCAGCCCATTCTTGAATGGTATTAAAATCATTATTTAACAAATTTCTAGCTACCTTGGGATCGCCCACTATTATGTAAAGAGATATATCGTCTGCAAAAAGTTCAACTTTACATCTTAGATGAACAATAATATCGTTTATGTAAACAAGAAATAGTAAAGGCCCAAGTATTGATCCCTGCGGAACACCTGCCGAAATATTTTTGAGATCTAAAAACTTCCCGCCCAAATCTATCCTTTGCTTTCTGTTTTTCAGATAACTTTCAAACCATTTGATAATTTTATCCGATAAACACGCTAATTTCAGCTTGTATATCAACCCTTCATGCCAAACTCTGTCGAACGCTTTACGTATATCACAGAAGACTACACGAATTTCTTTACCAGAATATAAAGTTTTCTTATTTCATTTGTAATATAAAGTACTTGATTTACAGCAGAGTCACCGAGGGTTAAAACCAGACTGGTGTTCTGTAAAAAAATGTTTTTCTCTGGGAAAATTGTACATATATTTTAAAAAAAAATGTTCCGTTAGCTTACCGACAATACTTATGAGAGAAATGGGTCTGTAATCAAACAGAATAGTTTTGTCACCTTTTTTAAAACCGGGTGTCACATTAGCAATTTTCCAAATGTCTGGATAAAAACTGTCATTTATAGACTTATTGAAAATACAACAAAGTGGCTCACATAATTTATTTTTCCCTTCTTTTAAAAGTTAACCGTGTATTAAGTCAGGTCCGGTGCCTTTGAAACTTTAAGAACACTGATTGCATCGCTGACATATTGTGGTGTTATATTGAGTGTGTCTAGATGTGGGAGAGGAAATGCATTTTCTGAAGGAAGTGTAGCTTGTGAACTTTTTATAGTGGACTGTTCTGAGAAGTAGGTGTTAAATGCTTCAGCTTTCATTGATCATCGTTAATTGCCACGTCATTACATAATAAAGGAGGAATAGAAGAAGATTTCTTTGAAAACCCAGTAAACTTGTTAGCTATTGTCCACCATTCACGTGAAGAGGATTTTGTAAGCTTAAGTTTATCAGCTAGTTTACTAAAATATTATGCCTTAGCTTTTCTTAAAGCATCAACACAAGAATTTCTTAACTGTTAAAACATATTCCAATGAACTTGGTTATGAGTACGCTTAGCTTTTCTATGGATAGGTTTTCGTGACCTTATTAATGTTCTTATGTTATTGTGCATCCAAGGGGAATCTTGAGAACGGACAGTAATTAATTTGTTAGGGATTGAAACTAAAGCACATGCTAGTATGGATTCGGTTAAGAAGTTTACTGCATCTTGTAGAGAGGAATTTTCTATATTGACTCGCCAGTCGATTGCCCCAAGTTTGGTATTGAACAAATGATAATCGCCCTGATTATATAACCATATTTTCCTTTTAAAGGTATAATTGCATGCGCATTTAGGGATATCTAGGTATATATATATAGGGCAATGATATCTGTCTATAGCTGATAGAAAAGATTCGCCAACTGATACTCTTTTAATTATGTTCACGTTGTTAACTAAAAATAAATCAAGTAAAGAAGAAGATAATTCCGTGAAGTTTGTAGGTTCCTCCACTAATTGCGTCAACGAATAACGACTAAGTATATCATTGATACGTACTGGCCTGTTAGTACCTATAGAGTTCAATAGATTTTCATTAAAGTCCCCCGTTATGAAAATGTTACTTATATTCGTATCAATTGCTAGGTCTATAGAGTGTTCTATAAGATGCCATAGTTCATTACTAGAGTTTGGAGGTCTATAAAAAGTTCCAATGAGGATGTTAATCTTGATTATTCTTAACTGTAGCCAAATACATTCAAGATTCATAACTTCTAAATCATTACGTCTATGAACATTTATATTTCTTTTCGCATACACAGCTATGCCTCCGCCAATGCGGTTGTATCTACTATTTAGGAATGGTGGGTGGAATCTATCAGATAGCAAACCATCAGATGTTTCTGTTGCAGAGTTCAGCAATGTTTCAGTAATAGAAATTATATCAAAATTTTCAAGTTCAGACATGATAAAATCTATTTTAGATAACAGACTTTGTACATTATAATGAACCATTGACAGATCACACCTGTTATCAAATGACACAGTACTATGGGATGGCATAAAATTGGAGTCGTTCACTGACAGACCGGGGTTCAGTTCAACGTCTCCACAGCGATATATCAAGTATACCAACCACAAAATGTAAAAAGATAATATGGAACAAATGAACAAATACAAAAATACGATGTGAAAGTTATAACTTACAAGGATTGTTTGCTGTTTTTGCTTGAGATTGACAGTTGCATTTATATAGCCTTCACATGTCAAAAATAAAAACATGATAATTGGGAGTGATCTCAGATTATAAAACCAAAACGAGTTTATCATCAAAAGGAAGAATAGAGTGACCCTCTTTTTGGAATGTGGAAGACAAGCTCTGGTCCCATGCATACCAGTTCTAATGCGGTGACACAAATAAGGAATATGGAATACAGGAATTGGTTGTCCGGATGAACAGCAACATGTGAGATTTGATGCAAACAAGTATTGCATACCCAAATTAGAATTAAAAACTACCACTGAGGTTAACAAACACAGATATGATTGAAAACAAGAGTAGATGCTTAAATACATACGGAGTAGTTTTAAAAGTAGAGAGGGAACCGTGAGGCTATCCTCAGGATAATACAGTAGATACCGGATAACTGATTATAAAGGAAAAGCTATTAGCGGATGTCACACAATCGAAAACGATATTCACCAAGTGCACACGTTAATTGCTTGTCAATTACATGCCAATCAGCAATGATTGTAAGAGTGAGTTTGGTATCGAAAGTTGAGATTTGATGTTGTCACGCACGCATGCACGCTCATACATACCAGAATACACTTGATACTTACATTTGATACAAACATATAAATTTATACATACTTTTAGTACATTTATCAACCCATATGGTTAATGCATACAATTAATACATATACACATTTAAAGTAAATACATACATACATACATACATACATACATACATACATACATACATACATACATACATACATACATACATACATACATACATACATACATACATACATACATCATACATACATACATACATACATACATGTACCCAGGTTTCAATGTGGAGTAGTGCCCAAATTTAACGAAATAGAGTTGGTTAAGAGGTGGGAAGGGAGGGGTAGCCAATAGGAACGACGATGAGCTAAATTGGGGTGGGGTAACGGGCATTCACAATGGGAAATAAATATCAACAATTATTCAAAGGTTGAAATAGTTCATTATGAAATTTCAGGGGCGAATGAGTTAATGGTGTTAATTACATCTAGTTCCATATTAACAAAATGTTGGAGAGATCGTCGAACTACTAAGCTGGTGAAAGACTGTCAGTCGTTATTGGTTTAAACACTCTATTACTTGTAATATATTTAAAAACATCATAAAAAACATAATTATGTAAAAATATGTATTTTTTGTATTAAAATGAAAACTCTCGATACCTAAGCGAAGGTATTCTAGTATAGTTACTCGCTTGAACAAAGTTGTGATATCCTAATGCTACAAATAGAAACAGCAATATAAGAAATTTGATTCCTTGAACTTATCTGATGTGAGATTCTAAAGACTTGAAGACCTAGAAATTTAGTTTAAAGCTTTTTAGTTATTAGACAACTGCAAATAATTTGTTTTCAACTTTTCTCAAACTGTAGGTCTTAACTTATTCTTAATAATTGATTTATTTTTAATTCGTCGACATATGCAAAATATAGTTATATTTAATCTGTTTATTGTTTAATATTATGTTTATTCGAATTAAGTTGTTTATCATTAATATATTAAAGTCAGTGATTATTCTTTTTATAAATTAACTGAGGGAATTTTCTCTCTTGATTATCATCAAGGATCAAGTAATTAAGGGATACATATCTACCACAAGGTATTGTATTTACAATCTGTTTGGAATTTTCAGACGTATTTGGAGTATCTTTTATTGTATAAAAAGGAATTAATTACAAATGAAACCTCAAAATTGAAAGTCCATATTTCCAATTTGAATATATAATGAAATTACACAATTCCAGATTTCGTGATACATGGTAAGAAATGAATATATTATATATCGTCTAAACAATACATTGTATTGTAGCCATCTCTCTCTCTTTTCCCCTCTTTATATATGTGTGTATGTACAGTGATGAATGATACTGCCAACTCATCTTATTTATGGCTGTCTTTTTACCACGCTGACAGAGACGCGCCGAGCCGTAAATGACGAATCAATTTTGACCTGTATATGGAATGCATAAACAAAGGTAAAGTATCTTAATACATAACTAATTTATAAACGTTCTTCTGATACACACACTATTGCTATACTGTTACCTGTGCGCTGCGGGCCACGTCAAACGATACACAAATTAAACATCCGTGACAATGACAATAGCTATACGAAACAAAAGCTTTACTACTGAATCGTAATAGCGTGACGTGACCTAGCAAAGCAGACTTTGTTCTTTTTACAGCTACACACATAGTCGCGATACATACCGCCATGTTTTCTAAGAAAGTTGTTTATGGATCCGCTGTTGTGTTGGCGTTTGGGACGCTACTGAACACGATAGGACGTTTCAGCCCCTGGATGTTTACTGTCAAGGGACCTAATGTTTACAACGATGCCAAGAACAAGGTGGTACATGGTACCATCAATTTTGGCTGGTTCTATCTTCAGGCCTGTGACTCTCGGCGATGTTACACGCAGTCCATGTCGGAACGGTATGGTGATCACAACACTCACGCAAATACCACAATGTCCGTCTTCTCAGGTAAGAGTCATATTAATTATCATATTTTCATATTATTTTTCATATTTTCATTTTGAATATCATGTTTCAGCTTAATTCTAATGTTTACATTTGCGTTTTGATAATTTCATTTAAATTTTAGTTATCAAATGATTTTAGTTTTATTAAACTTTCCTTAAGGATGTACACCTCTGAGAAGTAAAAGAATATGGAAGTAACATTTCTTAATCTTATTCTTTTAACTCAGAAAGCGGATTTTAGTTACCCCCTACCCCCTATTTTTTAATGAAAAAGTACTCATTTTTTTACCATTTTTTGCAGATTAAAAGAAAATACGTTTCTCTTTCTGAAACATCCACAAAAATCGGGAGTCAGTGTGCTTCTTTTTTTGTCCAATTATCATTTGTGTTATGTTTTACCTTTTTCGGGGTCAAAAATCAAAAGTGCTTCAGTTGCACTAAATATGTAAAAAGAATACCAATAATGTATAATTTTCCAGTTTGTTGCATATAATTTTTATCAAATTAAACATAATAAAGTTGTACAGCAAAATTGAACCTGCTACAATTAAAAATGGCGACACAACGACAATTTTAGTGATCAATCTAGTGTCAAAAAAGGTGAAATTTTGGCCTTTTTTGAAGCTCAAGAAATACACATTAATACACTTTTTCAAAATGGCCGCCGAATTGGTATTTTTGTTTTAATTTTTGTTAAAAAAACAAACAACAGGCATATAGTTTTTTGACATCTTTTTCAGATGCGTGTTTGCTAGTAAACTTGATCATAATTTGTTAAATATTACAAAAACCCGTTACACCAGATCAAAACGAGACTTGAACGTGATTGAAACATCAGAAGAATACATCCTTAATTTCACATTACTCAAATAGTTTGTACAATGGTTTCATTTACACTTCAATAATTTTATCTTAAGCCTAGCCTAGTCAGAGTGCTTTTATCCTTCACATCGTAGCTTCAGTGTGTTCTAATTTTATGTTACATTTACAGCGATTTTTTTCAAAACCAACATCCTGTAGTTTAGTTATTATTTGACAGGTTCTTTCTCGTTATTGCTAGGGAACAGATATTCCTATCCTTACCTTACACGCATTTGCATTTTGAAAACGTCACCATCGCGTCATCAATTTATGCAGTGTAACCAGGAAGCGTTATCAATTTTCTCACACATTGCATGTGCCCTTGGTGATGGCGCCTAACTTTAGACTAACCATTACATTATTATGACAGCATATCTTACGGAAGGAAAGTGTTGAAGAAAAATAAACAATTACAATCAGAAATTGTTGAATAACAATTTGACGGGCTTTTCACCGCTAGGACTGATTTGATCTCTGATAACAAACATATTATTTTTGAACCTCATGGTCTTTACCATCTATGGAGAAAAAGGTTAATATAAACCATAGTACTGAAAGTGAGCGTTGTTTTCATTAGATATTTACTTTTTTTTTTAGACATTTGACATTGATCAAGGTCAAACGTGATAGCTAAACATCTCAGCATCTCATATATCAAATATCAAGACTCTACACTTTAAAGAACTTGAGAACCGGAAGTAGACCTTAAACACAAAAATGTTTCATGACTTTTACCTTGTTGGTCTCCATAACATACCCAAAGATGAAATTGATGGTTTCATTCGTCCAAGAGTAATTGCAATCAGGGAAAAAAGGGATATGACGTCATGGCGGCCATCTTGGATTTGGGATCAAAACAAGAGTTGACAAGAAATTCGGCAGGTAGTCTTGACAAACATAATTATCTACACTATATTAAGTCTGTGTGGCAGATCATCAGAATAAAACGGTTTTAACATATTGTCGACCTTTCAAAAAGATCAAAGGAAATATTCAAAATGGCGTAAGATGTTAACGGTAAATGCTACATAAAAACAGAAGACGACAAAATCATCAAAATATATTTCTTCATCAACTGCAGATTTCTTTTTAAAAAATCTTGAAAAATAAAAAAAGTTAACAAGTTGGTGACCTTTGACCCAACAGCGAGGATTTTGATTTGACCTTTTTTGTTTTAACATGACATGAGAAAAGGTTACCCCCAACGAAAATCCACAAATAATATAATTGCATGGCGGCTGTACAATGAACAGTTTTTGAGTTATGGCCATTTTAAGATTTTGGACTATGACGTCATGGCGGCTATATAGGATTTTTGACCTACTTGAAAATGTAGCAATGACACCTTTTGACCTTGGTCTATAATATACTTGCAAGAGTATAAATATCTCTGCTACCAATCAAAAGATAAGGTGACCACAAAATCATGACAGAACAATAATGATAAGAAGACGAATAAGAAACAACAAAAACAAAAGGTCTTTTCACCACAAGTGAAAAGCCCTAAAAAAATTGTGTGATGCGGACGGAGAAATATCAATTCTCTGTATAAGATTTGCGAAGTTTAGCACTCGGACTAGCCTTGTCTACCAACAGGTACTAGCCTCGTCTGTCAATACTACTCATGGTATAAGATAATATTATGGGTGTAATGACCCTCGGGTTGAGATTTATCTGTCTAGATATCACATATGAGTGGTCGACTCTAATCTGGGGTTTCCTTCCGTAATATCCATGTGAATAAAGCTTGGTGAGAACGCTTTCCTACAAAGGTTTCCACACTCATGATAGACAAAGTGTTGGGGGAACATGTCACACACACGTGGATGACACTTAGAATGCTTTTCTATTGATCAGTTCACATATCTCGAGTTTTATATGATCATTGAACCCACCGATATCATACTAAAAGCATATCTGATCATATGTATATGCGATGTGTCTAAGAATGGAGATTGAGTTGCTTATAGATAAACACAAAACGTATCAAGCTACATCTGCCATGAATGTCATGTTCATTTCACATTGCATGAAATGAAGTTTTTTTTTCTAAATACAGAAAAAAATAAGTAAATAAATTAAAAATATTACAAAAGAAAATAATTACATTAAATTCTCCGGATTTTATCAAGTTTCATGATGTGTTGTGCTGGTATCTCCTTCATTCCAGGTGACACTCTGATCTCCAACCTAAAAACACGAAGTTGCGATGTAATAAAAAAAACTGCAATAATTGGATTTGTTTGTAACTCTTTGAATTTCTTTCCTTGATTTTCTTGTTAATAATTTCTACAAGTAAAACTTTCCTCAAACTCCATGCCTAAACAGATATAAATGGAGGTAATTAAACAAAACATGATCATGAAAATGTTTCCTGCTGTGATTTTCAAGATAAATACCAATGCAGCCAAATCATCACTCCGACTTTTTTTTCTTTTAACGAGGGTGCTACGATAAATGAAGGTCTATGTATACAAATTTGTATACAAGTACTTCTCTTCATGGTTAAATTCGGAGGTTTTTCACACATGTCCCTCTGTTTCAACAGTAGTTCAGACAATTTGAATTTCCAATTTTTTGGCCCCTAGCTAGCATCATCGATAAGTCCTAGAAGGACAAAAAAGCTGTATGATGTAGTGTAATTCATTAAATTTTAATTGTGCAGTCATCTATGAGTGTGTTACGCTCATCTTCTAACACGTAATATATATTTTCAGAGACGTGGCTCGCCAGACGAGTAGGAGAACAGACCATTGAGGTATTTGCATTGTTATTTAATATCGCGGGATTGGCTGGCACTGGATTCCTTCTTTACACGTGGAAAACACAAACAAAGCTACGGTACGCTGTCACACTGGTGTGCGCCACAGTCCTTCTTATATCAGGTAAAGTAGTATTTACCTGATCTCAACCGCCCTTCGTTTTCTATGTAAAGTTTTCTTATCCCTAGTCCTTGCCATCATATTTACACCTGTTGCAATGTACAGGTTTCTCATCTCCATTTTTGTCCTGTCCATCTTTCTCATATGAAGTATAGTATTAATTTTGTTTTCTAACTTGTCCATTGTCTTCATCAACTTGCATCTTTTAAAACCATGTGTTGTAAGTTTGCAAACATACGAGAGCTTTTCATGAAGGGTTTTTATGCATCGAGAGATACCTGCTATCAATAAGAATGTTAATTGCAAAATACTTATGGATTCTGTGGAAAATTACGCCAGACAATGGGCATCCACGATATTCAGGTGTTACGTTCACTTTTACTGGAGAGCGAAGGTAAGCGTAACACCGGGATATCGAGGATGGGCAATGGACAAAATGATAGTATGCTGAGTTGGATACACTTTCAGAGTGGGTCTTTCGATACACAAGCTTATGTCATATCTGGAAAGATCAGAAAATAGTACGGTATATCGTAGGTAGCCTAGCTTGTGCACAATTCTTATGTTCTTCAGCTGGTGTCAATTGCCGACGGCCAGATTGCAACAGTCAAGAGACGTTTTTTACGCTAAACGTTTGGCTATATTAGATGAAGCATTGTATTGTTTATGTATTGTTTTACATAAGAAAATGTTTAAGAGTTGGGAGAACATTCTAGCCTCGGGTGCACAATTTGGTGTCAGAACCTCAGTTTTTACCTTAATTCTACACCCTCGGGTGATATACGCTATTTATCCTTAGTCCCATCAACAATTCTTACATTTGGTGTAAATAACATTATTCCTATCCTTCCCTTGTTTCAGTCTCTCTTCTAATGCTTGATCCTAGCCATCATTTATATGATCAAGTATCGTATGCCGTATGTACGTGCTACTCAAAAAATATTTTGACAATAATGCACAGTATAATTTGTACAAACTGAGTCCCAAGTCATTTGTAAAACTGTCTAAACAATGTACTTAAAGCGATTTCTGGCGTAAATAACGCTCGTTCTATGTATAGCAGATGTATACAATGAAGTATAATACAAACCTACATAATACATAACAAAGACTGTGCTTGTAGCTAATGTTACACAAAATATATGTTATCATTACTTTAGGAAAGCTTGATGAACACGTTCACATCTCTATTGTCAATAACGGTAGAATTCTAAGTACAATTAACCATTATGCATAGAGCAAATAAAAAATATTTAACATTTTATATATTAGATACTTTAGATCACGTTAAAATTATTTAAGGATCTATATACATATAGTTATTCGCGATGGAGAGTATAATATTTCAATGCAAGAAGTAATAATCACTAGAAAAAATATTCACGAAAATTAAAATTTGCCACGAAAACATAACAAATTAATCTATAGTGAAAATAATCTCTCGCGAAAATGAAGTGGCTTCCAGTATTTGTGTACTGTGTTAGAGACGCCGCTTAAAAGCTGAATGCATTTGTAGTGTCTACATATGTATATATGATATATTAGTTTTGTAGACGCTTACAGCCTTACCAGGGCAACCTAGCAGTAATGAGAGCAATCTGTCATACACGGAAACAGGACACACGCAGTCTTTCCTAGAGTTGTTTTAAGTGTGTGTGTGTGTGTGTGCGTATTACCTCACCAAGGCGAAGTAATCCTTAGAATAGTGTAGACTCAAAATAGTCGCATCGTCAAACATTGATGCCCTAGTGAAAAATTTAAATATTTGTGAATTTTGAATTATCAGAATTATTTCCGCATGTTAATATACATTTATAACTTTAAACATCATTGAAGGAAAGTCAGCAAACAACTATTAATACATTTTACTCGAAAGTCAATTTTATATAAATTTGATTTTTTTTTAACAGCAATATAGATGTGTAATACATATAATTATAAACCACACATATTGTATTCTGCAATAGCCATTACTACTTTATTTTCAATCTTGATATGTTATTATCTTTCATGCTACCCGGTCTCTTAAGCTTAGATCGTGCCAAGGGTTTGTTCGTTTCTCTTTGTTTCCCAGAATATTGAAGAATATGATGGATTTGGAACACTAGATTCACCTTCGTTTCCAATGTTTCTTCAAACAGGAGGACACACCTGCATCAATACTTATATATCTTTAAAACAATAATAAACATTTCCTGTCGCATCTATACAATATTTAATCCAATTCATGTTTGTTCAGTGAATAATTTGATATTTATTATATTTTAAAGTATTGACTAAGTGTCTTGTTTTACTCTACCTTCAATGGAGTTCAATCTGTTGGGAATTACTTAATTTGACAAAAACAAAAACAACCAAAAACAGATAATTGGCAGCTAACTTGTCTACATTGAACTGCTACAGTCGCATTTCATTGATACTGTTTCAATTTACCACCATCTTTGCTGGCCAAGGGTTACGATAAGGTACGATCTACCTAAGAGTAGCAAGACCAGGTCGAAACCCTTGGCGAGCGAAGCAGACCTAGCACAGTGGAGTGATACATTCGTGGTTCGCAGATTGAGTCCTACATCTTATGAGGTTTTTCAGGTATCAACCTAAATGGTTCTAGAGACAAATTTCATATGATCTACGATTGCGAAGCAGTTAAAATCAAACTTGTCTCAAGAACCATGGAGGTGTATACCACCCCAACTAAACAGAATTCAAACCTCAACTATTTCCGGAATGTTGATCGTGACGTCATTACTAATGTTACGTCATAATTATAACATAATTACTGACCGATTGTTATTGTTGGATTCCCCATTGATGAAAGTATTTGTCAATCTGAATACTGAATAGTTGATGTAAATGATAAGCACTAAGCTGTTTGCATATATATATATATGGATATATAAATCCGTTATTACACATATTACCACAACGTGCGATTTAATTTACTTCAATTTTTCAATTAACTGAAAATGAAGGCATTTGTTTACCTGTTGAAATTCTCGCATTTGCCTCTTGCCAAACTACTGAGAAAATATTTGCATCACAGAAAAACATTTTTTCAGTAATTTCTCTTCTCTGAACAAGTATAGCTTTTTAGATTACAAGAAATAATAAAACAGGTATAAATACCTTTATTTATTTTATCTTTTTGAAATAGCTTCATTGGAGTGGGCTAATCTGGGAGAAGTACTGGCAGAAATGGGAAGCATTATTCGATACAATGATCCGAAGATTCAACTGTACACCCCTTCTTCCCTCGTGCTCTCCGGTCTCGGGTCCACGTGTATGTTTGCCGTCAGTGTGTTGTATTACCTGGCTGTAATGATGATGCTATATCAACACAGTGACATCACAAACACAGCAGGCATGGAGAGTCAAGGACAAGGTGTCAACGGCGGAAATGACGTCACGCCTGCTCAAGCTCAAAGTCATATCGAAAGCTTGGAGGTTCAAGTCAACACCGATCAAACCAGTGTTTAACGCCTTTTACAGGGCTAGTCATTCGTTCAATGGTGTTTAGGTGTTTTTACTTATACCATTATCAATCACTAGATATCATACAGGAGTAAAACAATCTGAAAATAATAAGGGAGACTGGGGCAAGTTAAGCCTTAGGGCAAGTTGGGACACTCCTGATATTTTGGGTATTGAGCAAATATTTAGAACTTTTGAGTACCTTAGCCGTTCACTTGACTTTTGACGTGAATGTTACACGTAACAATTGCCGTGGAAACTCAAGTATATAATTATTTAAATGGAGAAAGTAACTTTTGGGAGAGTAAAAAGATCATTACCTCAGTACTTTCTAGATTTCCGAATTTTCTGTAAACCGAATTCTTATTTTTCATGTCATACGTGTAACAAACTGACAGCTTCACATGACGATATACATAAACAAAAAACACCTAGCATTGACTTTCGTATCGCTGTAACACATGGGATGTCTAGAAAGTCGTGTCAGTGACGGGATAGTCTGACGTTGTATTGTCCAAGACGTCATTATTATGCTGATTCAAACATGGGTCTAACTTGCCGCAGACTGTCTGTTCGAGCTTGCCCAAAGGCGGCCACATTCGGCCATCAAAACTCCTGGTAGAAAAAAAGGTTAAAGGATTCTTCTGATACGCAGGTGTTTGTCATTTTGTTATTATTTCATGAAAGGTATGATTTTTTTCTTCCAGAGGGTTATATTTACATAAATGTCAACAAATGCCTTACTGTCGAGAACGACTTTAATGGGCTGGACATGCCCGGTCTCCTCTACTCTACAAGAAATGTTTATTCCAGCTACAAAAATAGGTTTTATGGTCAGAGTTTTTATAATCCGTATTGATATACATATCAATGTGTTTTTAAACCATATCTCGTACGTTAGTTTGAGTGCTGACAGTTACGGCGACAATTTCTAACTCTCCTCATTTCTAACGTAGGTTTGGGACCAAATATAGGAACAGGCGAGTATTTTTTTATTCTTAAAAGACACAAGACTTGTGTTAGTACACACTTACAAAGATAACTAGACTACCCAGTGCATAAACGCGGGCGTAGATGGGACGTTAAAATTTCCAATTCAATGAAATGGAGTACAGTACTTGATTGAACAGCAATAAAAAACAATTACTTATGTTCCCAGTGTAGAGGAGCGATTTCCCATACACATTGTTTACTGTATACGGATGTAAACAAGCCATGCTGTATCAACTCAACAGATTGAACAACTTACTCAGATTTACAAGTTTGTTTGTATATGTAATTTCACACCTTACCAAAGACACTCACTAGCGATGATTTGTGTAAAAGTGTTATCGCTAGAATCACCTTTCACCTCGGCGTTAGCTGGATGGTATCACCACAGTCAGCTTTATTGTACATATGTTATGATTTATAAGTATAAGTATTTTTCACAAATTTCGAAATGAAGCTCTTTTGCATAGGCGGTACGCGTGAAAAGTAGCTAGCAGTCATCCTTGAGTTGTCATCATTCAGATTTTATATATGATTTGAGATATTTGCCTAAAAATTGCATCTGGATTGCGCTAGGTAATAAAATACATAATATATCATTCATAAAAATATACATACTACACATATAAGAAAACAATGTCACAAGAAGGTAGAAACATAATACTAAGATGTGAAATGCAATAAAGTATAATTAAGATGAGTTATTGTGTGATAGAGAGAGGGTTTATGATATTATCATAACAATTGCCCATTCCTTTTGTTAAAATCAAATAAAATATATATTGAAATGATGTACATATGCTTCACTTTGAATCAACAACTCAATACGACCAGTGATTTAAGGAATTACAATAATTATGTGTCATTTCTGCAACAAAAAAAAACAATGTGTCGCTGACACAACTTCCAATCCTCAAATTATATATAGAGAATCGAAATAAACAACAATGTAATAGTTTAATCTTTTGTTTGTTTGTTTGTTTGTTTGTTTGTTT